AGCCTCTGTCCCACCTTCCCTCGACTACTAGCTGTTCCCTCCCTTGCATTTCGTTTTCCTTCTACTGGAGAGGACGCTTTCAGCTCATAAACATGCCATAGCTTGCCGGTCTTTAAAAACAAACAAACTTCTTGACGTAGATTCTCTTCTTGTTTTTGAAAGGATAAACTGTTGTTTGTTGTTCCCACTCCCTTCCCTCTATTCTCTTAGTCTCTTGTGATCTCTTTTCTGTCCTCAATTCTTTCAAATACTGACCATTAAGCTCTCTAGAATCCTTCCAGTTGCCAAATGCTGCAGTCACTCTTGAGGCCTTGTCTTCTGTGGCCTCTCTGCCTCACCTTACATACTATTCAGGTTTTCTTTTTAAAAGTAACTCTATTTAGGGGCGCCTGGGTGGCTCAATGGGTTAAAGCCTCTGCCTTCGGCTCAGGTCATGATCTCAGGGTCCTGGGATCAGGCTCTCTGCTCAGCAGGGAGCCTGCTTCCTCCTCTCTCTGCCTGCCTCTCTGCCTCTTGTGTCTGTCAAATAAATAAATAAAATCTTTAAAAAAAAAAAGTAACTATTTAATTTCAGAAATAGTATTTATTTTCAAAAACTTAGAAGCAGATAAATCACTACTAATAGTTTGCTACATTGTTCTTCTTGACATTCTCTTATTTTCATGAAACCATTTTCTCCTATTGTATCTTTTTTCATTGGCTTCCTGTTCCTCCCATTTATTTGGTAAATTTCCTTCCTTCACCTGTCCTTTAAATAGTGGCATTCTCCAGTGTTCTGCCCTTGGCTTTAATATTCTTCTTAACTTTCACCTTCTCTTTGGGTATTTTCATGATGGCTTTTTAAAAAGAAGTTAATCTGTGCACATACCCACACATCCTCACACAGTAAAATGTACACATGCCTACAGTTTCAAAGCCTGTAATTCCAAAGCCTGTTGTCACAATAAGTCATTCTTTTCCCATTTCTCTTCCCTAGAATCAACCACTGGGTTATACTTCTAGAGACAGAATGTATGTATGCTAGTACATATGAATTTATATATTTACTTATATAATTGTTTTCAGAGTGTTTCTGTATAAATGGCAGTATACTCCATGCTTATTTGCATCTTTTCCACCTAACACTATATAGGAGATCATTTTATATCAGTGTATAGAGATCTATTACATTTATTTTAGTGGTAGCAAAGTGTTAAAAAGTTTTTTGTATTCCTCTTTCCTGCCACTGCCTCTTATTTTAGAAGAATTCAAACTTACAGAAAGATTTAAAAAACAATACAATTAGCACCCACCTGTATACCTACTTGCACTTCTTTTTTTCTTTCTTTCCTGAATCATGTGAAAATAAAATTGTAGGTATCATGACAAGTTTATTTGAAAATTTTTCAGTATGTATGCCTTAAGGGCTAGGAATTCTCCTGCATAATCACAATACCTTTATTACACCAAAGGTTTTTAAGATCAATGCAGTATTATCTAATATAAAATTCATATTCAAATTTCTACAGTTGACTAAATATCCTTTATAGTTTTTTCTCTCTCTCTCCATTCAAGGAGCCAATCAAGAATTAAGACTTACATTTGATTGTCCTAGGCCTTCATTTAACAACTGTTTAAATAGATGACTGAAGTAGGATCTCTAGAGCCAACTCTTTCCTGAAGTTGACTTAAATCTATGAAATATAATTATTTGGATGTCACATTGGCCCCTCCCAAATCACATGTCCAAAATGAACTCAGTTTTTTCTGCTCTCAAACCTACTCTTCCTCCTATATTCCCAACTTAGTGAATGCTATAATTCAAATGTTGCCTTAATAAGAAGGCTGGAGTCATCCTAGGCTCTTCCCTCTTTGAGACCGTATGTGCTATTATTCCCTTAGCCTGGAATTCTCTCCCTACTTTGTCTACCTTTCTACTAGTTCATTCTTCAAGACCCAGATTAAGCTTTACTTCCTTGACCTTTTGTTTCTCCATGCAGGTTTAGATGTGTCTCCAGTCGTCTCCTTTTATACCCTGTACACACACCTGTCCCATCAATTATCACTTTAAGTGGGAATTGTTGGTTAATGTATCTGCCTTCTTAATCAGAAAGTAAGCTCCTTGAGTTCATATGGATTTAGTTGTCTTTTGTTCTAGGTCTAGTAATATAATACCTGGCCTGTAGGTGTTTAATTAATATTTATTGAATGCAAAATACAATGGAAAATGCACAGACAATCTTTGGCACGTAGAAATAGATTTTTTTAAGCTCAGCTCAACCTGGCATACATTTATTGAATTCCTGCTATATGCAGTTTGATGCAAGTAGTAAGATTGATTTTCTGCCTTGAAGGAAGGTTAGGGAAGTGGGATAAATGGGTGAAATGGGGGTCAAAGGGTACAAACTTCCAGTTATAAACTAAATAAGTTATGGGGATATAACATCAACATGGTGACTATAGTCAGTAATATTGCATTGTATATTGAAAGGAGATAAGAGAACTTAAGTTCTCATTACAAGAAAAAGTTTGTAACTTTGTACGGTGACAGATGATAACTAGATTTATTGTGATCATTTTGCAACATATACAAATAAAGAATTGTTACGGTGTGTGCACCTGAAACTGATATAATGTTGTATGTCAGTTATACCTCAATTAAAAAAAAGACAGGTTGGAGTCTACTTGAGGTTAAGACCAGTATACTTAGAAGGTAATCTAATAATTCGATAAATGATGCAGATGGTAGCCTCAAGGAGAGAGGAGTTGGTGAATGATTTTGAGTACTTACTGTGTGCCAGTTACTATTCTCTGTTTGTAAATGTTATTAATCTGTACAACTTTTATTTTTTTAAAAAGGAAATTGAAGTTAAATAGTCCAAGACTATACAGATAGTAAGTAAAGATTTAAACCCAGGTCTGACTGACTCCACAAACGTGCCATTAAGTGTTCCAAAGGCAATTAAGAGAGTCATAAAGTGATATTGTAAATCAAGGGAAAAAATAATATCCAATTGTAGGGTAATTAAATCAGTGGTATAGGCCCACAACGAAAGGTTGTATAATCGCTACAAATCATGTGGTTGAGAAATACTCATTATCTTAAAGTATTTATGATAGAATGTGTAGTACTAAAAAGCAGTATATAAAAGTATGACTCCATTTTTTTAATGTACATGTATGATTTTATAGAAAAGATTGGAAGAAAATGCATGAAATGGTTAGTGGTAATCATCCCAGGGTTATGATATTATAGACTATATGCATTTCTTCTTTGTAACAGTCTATTTTCCAGATTTTGTACAATAAACATAAGCTTTTATGATCAGAAAAAAAAATCATTTAAAAAATAAAGGACTAAGAAAAAGCAAGCAGAACTTAGTCTTATAATTATTAAAGTTAGAAATGTTTCATGAACAGGGTGCCTGGGTGGCTCAGTGGGTTAAAGCCTCTGCCTTCGGCTCGGGTCATGGTCTCAGGGTCCTGGGATCAAACACCGTACCGGGCCCTCTGCTCGGCAAGGACCCTGCTTCCTCCTCTCTCTGCCTGCCTTTCTGCCTACTTGTGATCTTTCTCTGTCAAATAAATAAATAAAATCTTTAAAAAAAAAAAGAGAGAGAGAAATGTTTCATGACCTTCCTTGGCTCTGAGGTGGAACAGGCCTAAGCATCCCAGACAGATTGATGGTTCCTATTTTAAGAGCATCTCACTAAGATAAGCAACTCTCCTTCTGCCTTATGGTCAGTTCTATTGCCCAGTAGCAAGTGGGAAAGGAATTTTCTCTGTGTATTATTTCATGAAGACATGGGCATGAGAGACACTCCCATGTCTTGTGAAAATTTTCATTGTTTAAAGGTATTTTTTCTAAAATAAGGGCCAAATGTAAGGCTCCTGTCTGGGCTTTATGTTTCACTTTATAAAAACACTGAAAGAAATTTAATATATTTAAGAGGATTCAAAAGAGAATAGAAAAACACTTGGGTTTTCTATTAGTTTTGCATCAGTTTGAAAAACATTCTTTATATGATGTATCTCTTCTGGGTGTCTGTATTCTCACACAGCATGTGTCGCTGTTCTCATTGGGATTTAGCACACTCTAGTGGACAGTAACTTTTCAATTTTTTTTTAATCATGTCAAATTACTTTATTGGACATTTCAGTGATGTGCTTACCTGATAGTAAGGTTTGTCAATATCTATTTGAGTCAAGTAGTAATCCTAGTGAGTGGGACTGACTTATAGGCCACTGGGGTGTTGTACGTTTTATGGGGTTTTTTTGTTTGTTTGTTTGTTTTTTCAATAGAGAAGAGAGGTTTTTTACCTTATGTGGAAACTTTCCCATTGGCTTTCATCTTTTCTTGGGTTGACTAAGAAAAGAGGCAGAGCTGAAATAAAATAAGAGCAATTATTTGGGGTCTCAGAATTGTAGCTTGAGGAGCACAGATTTGGTAACAACCCAGATTGTGTCCCTTTAGGTTACAAAAGTCAAGAGCTTAAAAGAAGACAAAAAAGGAATGTTTGTATGTGTCATTTACAACGAATTTTGTTTGATGTTGGCAGCAGAAAACCAATCTTGGCTGAATATAATTGGCTGCTAAGGTTGTCCCTAAGCAAATTCTCTTACTACAGCAATTGCGGTTCGGGCAGAGTCTTTAGAATCTTTGTAGTTTGGCCCAAATAAAGTTCTTAGCTTCATCTGGTGAGGATGTACATAAAGGTCCATCTCCTTAATGGCCTCTAGCACCATTTTAAAACCCCTTGACGTAAGTGATTTCATTTCATTTCATCTTGCACATATGGGTAAGGTGAAATTGATGGGTCAAAACATAAAGGAACACTGGTAGTCTTTCTGTACCTCACACTCCTTGGAACTTTCAGGACTCTTGAGAATTTTTACATACCACATTTTGATTGAAAATTTGACCATTTGTGCATAAACATTGCTGTATCCTATCCTGATGGATTGTTTTTGGAAATGGGCTTCCACCAGGAAAAAAGTAATTTTTAATTTTGTTTTTGCAGAGTGATGGTGAAGATTTTAATTACATTGTTGCATTTTTCCTTGGAACAGCAGCCTGCCTTTACCAGGTAGGTTCTCTCCAACTTTTGAGAAACACTTTCCTATTATTGTTTGTTTTACGTATTCTCTTATTTGTGCACTTCAAATAAATAAAATGTCTGAGATCTTTACCTCTCTTTAGAGCCTCTGTTAACTTTATGATCTACATCTCCATTTTGAATGGACCTGGATCCCAGTGTACTTAATGTTAGCACTCTTCTGTGTCAGGTTTCAGTGGCAGTATGTCATCTGCCTGTGGCGGTAAAGGCTACTTCTAGATTTTTTGGTGATGGATTATTGAGCCTCAGGGCTCTGCTTATACTTGAGCATGAGGATTTTGTACTTTTGGGCAAGTCTGAACAGGAAACAGCCAAAGCGGATTTTAGGATATTTAATTTAGTAGTGAGGAATGGGGTGGATTGCCAGAGCAGAGAAATTGGAAGAAAGGAAATTAGTTGGGAGGCGATTCCATTACTTAAGGCAGAAGGCGGTGAGAGAGTGAACTCTGATAATGGCAGTAGGGATCAGGGGTGAGGGAATGACACTGAGGAGGAAGACTCCTAGGACCTAGACTTACAGAGCCAGGAGGCTTTGCACCTGGTGATAGGAAAATGGGTACTGGCATTCCTGAGAAGAGAGGAAGCACAGATTTGTAGGAAAGGGAGAGGTGACCATGCCAGTCACTCAAGCTGAGGAATGTCTTTGCTGAAATGTGGTACAGCAGGCAAGACCTTTTGTCCTAACTTATAAGTAACACATTTCTCTGGCTTGCGTAGGAAGAATGTTAGAAAGATTGAGGACTGCAAACATAAGGCTACCTACAACTCAGAAGTCTCTAGTGAAATACTTTGAATATATACATTTGACTTTATGTAAAGATAGATTAAAGATTTTAGTTTCATATTTTTTTAAAGCCCCTAGTTTTCTTAATCATTTGTATTTAGAAATTTTCTATACAGTTTGACAGATTTAACTACAATGAATGACATTTCATGCAGGAAATGTGAAAACTTGTATTTGTTAATGTCACAAATGCTTTAATTTTATGAAATATTCTTGTGTAGATTTTTTAAAAAACTTTAATGTCTACAATTCTGTCACACAGAGGATATTATCTCATTTTTAAAAATGAGAAATTTGAGGTAGTTTGGGTACTATCCAGAAATCATATAGCCCAGGAAGTGGTAGAGTCAGGACTTAACTCTGGGTCTTCTGATTTTAAATATTGTGTTCATTCCAGTATATTATGCTGTCTGTAAGCAAAATTTCTATATTTGTATAATTTCTATAAGGTTATTCAGTTAAAATTTTATAACATATGCATTATTTCATATGATTCTAAAACAATGTTAAGTAAATGTTAACTTTAAAATAATGAGTAATTCTTGTAAAATATACTTTTGGCTGTTTTGCCTTAATGAAATAATTTTATTCCTTCATTAATTTATATTTTTAAAAATCACTTTTTATCAAAGAGCCTTAATGAAATTTTTTTTTAGTTTAATTTTATTTTTTCAGTGTTCCAAGATTCATTGTTTATATTTTTAAATACTACTAATAATAGCAAAATGTATTGAGTTCTTACTGTGTGCCAAGTTCTTTATATTCCTTGTACCCATTAAATCCTCACAGAAAGTCCCATGCTAATCTTGTTTTCATTGTCATTTTTCACTGAGGGCTAGCAAGGTCTTATCGTCAGTGCCTCCAGCCCCAGTCTGCGCGACTCCAGAGCCCCGCTGTTGCCTTTAGAGAGGCTTTCTAAAGGCAGACCGCTGTTACATTACCTGGAACAGCTGAAAATCGTTCTCAGAGGAGACGGTCACCCAGGTGTTCTTTTACTAGAGAGAAGTTAAATGGATTCGTGCTTTAAAAAAGAACAGTAGAGGGGCGCCTGGGTGGCTCAGTGGGTTAAAGCCTCTGCCTTCGGCTCAGGTCATGGTACCAGTGTCCTGGGATCAAGCCCCACATCGGGCTCTCTGCTCAGCAGGACACCTGCCTCCTCCTCCTCTCTCTGCCTGCCTCTCTGCCTACTTGTGATCTCTGTCTGTCAAATAAATAAATAAAATCTTTAAAAAAAAAAAAAGAATAGCAGAAAGTCAGTTTTCTTTTTGACAGGCATGAAACTGCACACTTCCCGAATATGCTGAGCAGAGTGACAATAACGCTGGTTTTTTTTCCACAGTAAAACCTGCGTGATTATATTTTACCTTTAACATGCTCCATCTCCAGTTGTGAAGTCGTTTTTTAATCCCCTTTAGATCAGACCTCAAGAGCTACGACTATGTAGTTTCTTGGCTTTTTCTCCAGGCTGGGGGTACTTAACGGACCCACAGAACTCAGCCAGATAGGAGTAATCTTGCTATGGAACATTTGAAAGAAGAAATCAAAAGATCTAGAAACCAGAGACTTCTCTTTTTTCCTCTCAGTGCTTTATTTTGAAAACTCTCAGACTTCCAGAAAAGTTGAAAGACTAGTACACTTAGAGCCACCAAATTATTAACATTCTGCAACACTTTCTATATCTCATTCTTTTTGTATGTGCATGTGCATAGTGTGTATATTAGTTGTCTATAAAGTAAGTTGCAGATATGTATGTGAGTATAAAGTTGTTTTTCCTATTAACCTTTTTATTTGAGTTAATTGTAATAGCTGTGAGAGAGATATATAACCTTTACCTGAGTTTCCCCCAGTAGCACCATCTTGTACAACTATGATACATTACCTCAGCGAGGATATTGATGTCAGTGTGGGCAGATACAGAGCATTCATATCACCACAAGCACCCCTTTGGTTGCCCTTTTAGAGCCACATCCACTTCTCTCCTGCCCCTTCATCTCTGGCAACCACTAATGTGTTCTCCATTTCTATAATTTCCTCATTTTAAATAATGTTATATAAAGGGACCCATATATAGTATGAATCTTTAGTGATTGGCATTATTTTGCTCAGTACAATTCTCTGGAGAATTTTCCGGGTTGTCACATATATCAATGTTTGTTCCTTTTTGCTGCTGAATGGTATTCCAGGGTATGGATGTACCACAGTTTGTTTAATGATTCACCCACTGAAGGACATCTGGGTTTCCAGTTTGGGGCTATTATAAATAAAACTGCTATAAACATTCATGTATAAGATTCTGTGAGAACATAAGTCTTCATTTCTCTAAGATAAATGCTTAGGAGTCCAATTGCTAGGTCTTATAGTAGTTGCATGCTTAGTTTTATTGAGACAGACACAGTTCTCCAGAGTGGCATTCCATTTTACATTTACATTTTTACATTTTACATCACTCACATCAGCATTGTTATGAGTGATCCTGTTTCTCCACATCCTCTCCAGCATTCGTTGTTACCGCTGTTTTTTATTTTAGCCATTCTGACAGATGTGTAGTGATCCCTCATATTGATTTTAATTTGCATTTCCGTAATGGCTAATGATATTGAACATTGTTTCAGGTACTTATTTGTTATCGATGTGTTCTCTTGGGTGAAATATCTTTTCATGTCTTTGCCTATTTTCTACTTGGATCATTTGGTTTTTACTGTCAGGTTTGAGAGTTCTAGCCATCAGCCCTGTGTCAGAAATGTAATTTGCAAGTGTCTTATTCCAGTCAGTAGCTTGTCTTTTCATCCTCTTAACCAGGTCTTTTGCAGAGCAAAAGTTTTTAATTTTGATAAAGTTCATTTTATCAGCTCTTTCTTTTATGGAAAAATATTTATGGTATCAGGTCTAAGAACTTTTTTTTTTTAATTGAAGTATAGTTGACACATAGTACTAACTAGTTTTGAGGTGTACAACATAGTGATTCCACAAGTTTATACTCTAGGCTGTGCTCACCACAATGTAGCTACCATCTGTCACCATCCAATATTATAATTCCATTGATTCAAGTCTAATACTCTTTGCCTAATCCTGGACCCTGAAGATTCTTTGTTTTCTTCTAAAAGTTTTGGTTTTATGTTTTACATTTAAGTTCATGATCCATTTTTAATTAAATTTTGTATAAGATTGTATGAAATGTGAGACTTAGATGATTAGATTGGAGAGTTTGTTTTTGTGTTTTTGGTTTTGTGTTGTGTTTTGTTTGCTTGTGGATGAATAGCCAATTGCTCCATTTTTTGAAAAGGCTTTTTTCTCTCCCCTGAATTACTTTTACATCTTTGTCAAATATCAATTGGACATATTTGTGAGAGTCTGAGTTTTATATTCTGTTTTATTGATCTATGTGTCAGTCTCTCTGCCAGTACCACATAGTATTGATTACCGTGACTGTATAATCTGTATTAAGTTCCATTTTCTTAATTGTTACACAGTTATTCAAATTCTCTTTCTCATAATACATGGATTATGATAGTTTGTATTTTATAAGGAAGTGATCTATTTCATCTTACCAGCTTTACATGTGTAGAGTTGATTGTAGCATCCTCTTACTATCTCTTTGCTGTCTGTATGATCTGTAATGATATTCTCTATTTCATTCTTCATATTGGTCAGACTTACTTGTTAATTTCATCAGTTTTTTAAAAGAACCTGCTCTTTGTTTTGTGTTTTTTTTTCGTATATTCAGTTTTATTGATTTCTCCTTATTATTTCCTTTTTCATGCTTGCTTATGGTTAATTTGGCTCTTCTTTTTCTAGGTTCTTGAGATGGGAGCTTTGATTATTGAGAATTTTCTCTTTTGTAATATATACTTTTAGCATTAAACCTTTCTCTCTTTGAGCATTTTATTATCTGTGTCCCGTAGATTTTGATATGTTGCATTTTTTCATCTTATTTTTTTAAAAATATTTTATTTATTTATTTGTTAGAGTGAGGGAGAGAGAGCACAGGCAGGCAGAGTGGCAGGTAGAGGCAGAGGGAGAAGCGGGCTCCCCACGGAGCAAAGAGCCCGATGTGGGACTCTATCCCAGGACGCTGGGATCATGACCTGAGCCAAATGCAGCCACTTAACTGACTGAGCCACCCAGGTGTCCCTTCATCTTACTTTTTATTAAAATTTTTATTTTTTTATTTTTTAAGTTTTTATTAAATTTCAGTTAGTTAACATAGTGTAATATTAGTTTCAGGTGTAGAATTTAGTGATTTGTCACTTAAATACAACACCCAGTGCTCATCACAAGTGCCCTCCTTAATACCCATCACCTACTTCACCTGTCCCTCTGCCCACCTCCCTTCCAGCAGCCCTCAGTTTGTTCTCTGTGATTAGGAGTCTGTTTCCTGATTTGCCTCTCTTCCCCCCCTCCACATTTCTTCTGTTTTATTTCTTAAATTCTACATATGAGTGAGATCATATGGTGTTTGTCTTTCTCTAACTGACTTATTTTGCTTAACATAGTACTTCCTGGCTCCATCCATGTTGTTGTAAATGGTAAGATTTCGTTCTTTTTTATGGATGATTAATATTCCATTATATATATGTTTATATAATGGTTTACACACACACACACACACACACACACACACACACACCATGTCATCTTTATCCAGTCATCAGTGGATATTTGGGCTCTTTCCATTGTTGCATTTTTATTTTCATTTATCTCAGTGTATTTGAAAATTTTTATACTTGTGGTTTCATCTTTGACCTGTGGATTATGGATTATTTGGAATTGTGTTTTGCTTCCAAGAGTTTGGGAATTTTCCAGTTTTCTTTCCGTTATTGATTTCTAGTTTGATTCCATTGTGGTTGGAAAACACTCTGTGATTTCAGTTCTTTTAAATTTGTTGAAATTTATTCTGTGGCTCAGAATATGGGCTGTCTTGATATATATTCCATGAGCACTTAAACAGAATGTATATTCTACTGTAGCTGATTTCATGCTCTATAAATGTCAGTTAGATCACGATGTTTGATGGGTCTCAGTTTTTCTGTATCCTTGTTGATTTTGTCTCGTTCTATCGGTTGAAAGAAGAGGAAGTTTTTTTGTTTTTTTTTTTTAAGATTTTATTTATTTATTTGACAGGCAGAGATCACAAGTAGGCAGAGAGGCAGGCAGAGAGAGGAAGGGAAGCAGGCTCCCTGCTGTGCAGAGAGCCCGATGCGGGGCTCGATCCCAGGACCCTGGGATCATGACCTGAGCCGAAGGCAGCGGCTTAACCCACTGAGCCACCCAGGCGCCCCAAAGTTTTTAACTCTAATTGTGGTTTGGTATATTTCTCATTTCAGTTTTATCGGTTTTTGCTTTGCACATTTAGCTCTGTTTGACTCATTCACATTTAGGATTATTGCCCTCTTGGTGTACTGATCCATTTATAATAATATATCATTATATAATATCTTATATAATGATAACCCTCTCTAGCCATTTCTTTTTTTTGGAAATATTTTTATATTTATCTGATATTAATATAGCCATTTCTACTTTCTTCTCATTAATGTTTGCACAATATATTCTCCATCTTTTTACTTTCACCTTGCTTGTATCATTTGAAGTGAGTTTCTGGTAGATTTAAAAGCTGTTTTTAATCCACTCTGCCAATCTCTGTTTTTTAATTATTGTGTTTAGGCCATTACATTTACTGTAGAATCGATACATTTGGGCTTAAGTTTGCCATTTTTATTTTTTGTTTGCTGGTTTTCATTTTTATGTTTTCTTTTTCCTATCTTTCTGTGGGTTACTTGAACATTTTATAAAACTCCATTTTGATTTATCTGTAGTGTTTTTGAGTTTATTTCTTAGCATAGTTTTTGTTTGTTTGTTTTGGTTTTGTTTTGTTTTGTTTTGTTTTTTGAGAGAGAAAATGCACATGCATGCGAGATTGGGAGAAGGGGCAAAGGGTGAGGGAGAAAGAATCCCAAGCAGGAATGTGGGCTTGATCTCATGACCCTGAGATCATGACCTAAGCCAAAAACAAGAGTGGAACGCTTAACAGACTGAGACACCCATGATTCCCTCTCCCCTCTTTGTATGGTTTTTAAATGCTCTAGGTATTGTGTTATACATACTTTTCAGTTTTTTGGTGTTGTCATTTTACTAGTTCAAATGAAACATAGAAATTGTATTTCCTTTTATGTCCCTTTGCCTCCCACTGTTTATAATAGAATTGTCTTAAATATTTCCTCTACCTATATTTAGAACCACATCAGACAGTGTTACAAATGTTTATTTCAGTCATCAATTTAGAAATCTCAAGAGGAGAAGGAGAACCTATTATATTATTTTGCTGACTGTTCTTTTTGCATTCTCAGTGTTCCAGGGTTTCTTCTTTTATTGTTTCCTTTCTGCTTAGGTATTTTCCTTTAGCCATTCTTTTAGGGTACATCTGTAGGTGTCAAATTCTGTTAGTCTTTCACCTGAGAATGTCTTTATTTCTCCTCCCACAAGAGAACTTACTAACTACAAAGGGAAAAATAGTAACTTCACAGTGGAGAAACCTGTCAGACACCACCTTACCAAGAGATCGAAGTTAACATCACCAATTTTAAGACATACTGCACATCGCCTCTGTGGTATTCTAGCCCAAACTGCATGTCCTCATTTCAGTCTTGAGACAATGTCAGGCAAACCAAAATTAAAGGACATTCTACAAAATAACTGATTGATACTCTTTAGACTGTCAAGGTCATGAAAGAGACTTGAGGAGCTATAACAGATTTGAAGAGATATGGCAGCTAAATGCAAGAGGCAATCCTGGATTGGATTCAGGACCAGAAGAAGGGCCTTAATGGGGCAACTGGCAAAATTCCAATAAAGGCTGTAGATTAGTCTACAGTATTGTATCAATGTTAATTTTGTGGTTTGATGATTATACTGTGGTTATGCAACAAGATAACATTAGGGGGAGTAGGGTGAATAATGTACAAGAACTCTGTGATTTTTACAACTCTTCTCTAGGTCTAGAATTATTTCAAAAGGAAAAATTACTTTTTTAACTTTTTTTACACAGTGAAAACCACTCAAATAAAATAAGTACTTACAGTTCATTTTGCTTGGATAGCAGTCTTCTGTTTAAGTAAGCAAAGTCCTAATTTGTATAAGAAATAAAAAGATTTGGGGCACCTGGGTGGCTCAGTGGGTTAAAGCCTCTGCCTTTGGCTCTAGTCATGATCCCAGGGTCCTGGGGTTGAGCCCCATGTCAGGCTCTTTGCTGGGTGGGGAGCCTGCCTCCCTTCCTCTCTTTCTGCCTACTTGTGATCTCTGTCTGTCAAATAAATAAAATCTTAAAAAAAATTTTTTTAAAGAAATAAAAAGATTTAATAGAACATTTCCACATTCTTTCTGCATTGTTGCAAACACCTTAAAGTCCTTCCTCTCCTGACGCCTGGATAGAATTTCACAATTTCTTCGTCTTTCTTAAGACTTTGTAATCACATATAATTCCTATATTTAACAGATTGTGAATTTAGGCTCGTCTAGAAAACAATTCATTCAACAGATTTTTATTGAGCACTTACTATGTGCCAGGCACTATTCTGGGCACTGGATAAAGTGCCCACTGGATAACAAATCAAAAATCTCTCCTCTCATGAAGCTTAGATCCTATTGGAAGAATATATATAACAGACAAAACAAGCACATTTGTAAAGTGTGTTTATATTGTGGAGAAAAATAAAGCAGGAAAAGGTGACTCCCAGGATTCGGGCTTATGGGGGGGGGGTAATTTCTTTATTCTGTTTTCTAAAATAGCAATAATTACATTCTCTGTCCCCCTGTCCCATCTTTTATTTTAAGACATAACTATTTGGTATTTTATATACATAATATGATCTTTTGTATATATAATCTTTCTCCCTCCATTAGAATTTAAGTTCTGTGTGAGCAAGGGCTTTATTTCGTTACTTGAAACTAAAGAAACAATGCTTAGCTTGTAGCTGGCCCTCAATAAACATCAAATGTTCACTCAGATGCTCTACCTTACTTACTAGTTCCTTGCACTTAATGGGAGAGCAGTAAATATTTGTGGATTTCGTTAATATGTAGATCAGGTTGTGTAAGAGTCCATTTTGCTGTGGTTTGTTTGAGGTATTTTGTACTTTTCTGGGGTGAGGAATGTGTGATGTGCTCAGCCTCTTTGCAAGGGAGTCATCCAGTTGTGACTCTGTTTTAAAATATGATACAAAATGGATCTTTTGACAGTGACAAACATAAAAGGAAAAATCTGCTTTCCTTTCAAGCTGTAGTGCTTTCATAGCTGAATGTCTTAAAGAGGTTACATTATCTTATCTGTAGGTGAAAAATCCTCTTATTCCACTCTTATATTTTACACTGTGGCCTGTTAAAATTTTATAGTAGAAGCATCTATTTCTTTTCTTGTAACCCTAATCATCTTTCATTTTATATTTTGAACAGTGTTACTTACTTGTCTACTACACCGGCTGGCGGAATGTCAAATCTTTTTTGACTTTTGGTTTAATCTGTCTGTGCAACATGTATCTCTATGAACTGCGCAACCTGTGGCAGCTTTTCTTTCATGTGACTGTGGGAGCATTTGTTACACTGCAGATCTGGCTAAGGCAAGCCCAGAGCAAGGCTCCTGATTACGATGTCTGACCCCATCCTTCAGACATACTGCCCTGGCCTCTGGGGGAAAAGGAGGGAGCATATCTTAACTGCCACTGTGATGAAGAGACTGTTCACCACACTCGAGGAGCTCTGCTTTCTTTCTCGCCAGCTATCCTTTTTTGTTTTAAGTCCGCATGGCATGCCTGGGAGCGTGCAGCACCTGCTAGGCAAACCCCTCATGTTAGTCGCGGGATTATTATTCAGAGGAGGAGGAGGCTTCTCTATCCAGGGCCACGACCGTGGAAGAACAGTCAGAAGCCATTTGGAGACTTGGCCAGCGGTTCTGAATCCTTCTGAAGAGTTCAATCAAAAAATGTGTGTGGTACATGCTCAGAGGACCAAGCGGGAACTCTACAGTCTGGGTTCGCCTTTGTGAGGCACAAGTATAGCGCAAATAAAAACATGCCGTGGAGTTTGTGTTTAAAACAACTTGCTAAATATCACGTTATTTGCACACTTACAGTACCCTGAGTTTATGAAGTCCGGGATGGTGTGGAATTGGTTCTTTTTCCTTTTATATTTTTTGCTTGAATCCTAACTCTGGAAATCACTTGGTATAGGAAAAGGCTTCTTATGAGCTTATCTCTAGAACATCACAAGTACTGAGAACATAGTAACATACGTTTCCTTCCTAGACCCTGTCTGTAGTTTCTTTTGAAATCACTTTTTAAACATGGAATTTGTTAGATTATAGCCATCGTTCCCCAGACTTCAATCACTTGAGTATTAACATATACTATTATTTTTAGTATTTATCTTTTAAATCTTAAAATAGTTTAAAGACAAACTAATCTCTACTCCAAGAGGAAAACCAGCATCAATTTACCATGAGTTAACTACGAAATAAAACAAAAAATGTTATGAAATTCTAACTAGATCCTAATGCCCCCCCCACCCCAGGCCCTGAATCTCCGAAGCCTGCTCTTTGTTGCAGTGAGAGAGATCTTACCCAGTATGAAAATGGGGCTCTCTCCGTGGAATTATCAGAAGGGTAAGACTGTAAAGGGAATGACATTTTCACTGTGATTCTGCATTATTCACTTCTGTGTTGTATACCGCCGAAAATCCCCGTGTGTGCTGCCAGTGGTGTGGGTCGTGCCCTCTGGAAACGGCGGCCTGTGCTCCGAATGAGACGGCGACTTCTCCCAGCGGCTCTTTCTATTTTGTGGCTTCGAAGAGTTCAGCACCTTGTATCGTAGAGAACTTGTTTGCGTTTTGATAATAATAAACGTTCAAGCAGCTATGAATTAATAATATAGGAAGCACAGTTTGATTCCACTAGCAAAATCTGCCAACTCTCCTGGTTTTGGAAGGTACCTTCATTAATGATTTTTCTTTTGTTTTTTAAAGAAAAGATTATAAAAGTATATATATAAGGTACTAAAATTTGATAGCCAGAAAATGATGGACCCGTTACGTATAATTCATGTTACTGGGTGTATTTATTAAGCAGAATAGTCCAGAGGGGTAAAGTCGTTGAACTACCGTGTTTGCCTGAACCCATATTATGTAGGTATATCTGCAACTGTAAAACCTTGCTTAACTAGAAGTTTTTGCTGCACTCCCCTTTTAGGAGAATGAGGCAAAAGGAAGACAGTAAGCTTGTAATATCAGGGATTTATTTAAAACAGGAAATTCCATTTCAGTTTTGTGCCTCTAGCAAAACTGCACAGAAGTTATGTATATTCTAGAGCTACCCCAAGATATACTACATGATATTAAATCAGCAAAATCAAGTTGATGTATGTTTGTTATTTTGTACTTTTTTACTGAGCCAGGAAAGTGAAGTAGTTCAGTTTAGAAAGATTTTTCTGAACTAATGGTTAAAACAAGAAGAGTTCTCTTGTAAATAGCCAGCTAGCCAAGAAGATGGAACATTCTGCGATTTTACTATATATTGACACTTTATGGCTCGCTTACCAGTTTGGTTCAGTTTGGTTCTTCTTATTGAATTATTGAATTATAGTGTTTGGTGTTTGGAGCATTCAGCAGGGACATTTTAAAATTCACCAGCTGTCTTTAAAGGCTTAATTTGTTTTTTTGTTTTGTTTTGTTTTCACTGCTCTTTTGGATAATGGGATGTTTACATCTTAATGTATAAATATGAAAATAGGCATAAATAATGTTTATGTATAGAAATGCTTTATTTCATTATTTGGTGTCTGCATTGCTGAGTGTTTATATAACTTCTCTGTCTCTGTGATGTTGCCAAAGAAACTATTATGAATTTGGAATGAAAAATTTTTGCCATGAATGTAAAGTTCTTAAGCTCATTAGACTTCTAAAGTGTATGATAGTAATATCTTCCGTTTATACTGTACTTTTACTTTAAAGAACAAGTCTCTGTTTACCTAATTATAATGAGTTTTGTAGTGTAGGAGAATTACTTGCCTTCTTGTTATGAAGGAGGAAACTAAGGTAATCAAATGTTAATGACTTATCTAGGGTCACAGAGCTAAGCACATACAACTTCTAATCCCTTAGCCTTGGGGCTCTCCCCCACCAGAGTGGGGACTGATGGCGATAACTAAGGTTGTACTCAGGAAATAGGTCTGCTCTTGGTGAAATCAGGGAATTGGGGACTTAATGAGCTCAGGTGTGGTCTGTCAATCCTGGGTATCTATTAGGGTAATTCTGAAATACTGCTTTTTTATTAAGATATGCCGTGAAGGCATAGATACTCTCTTTTATATCCTAAAAATAATTACTTTTTTTTGCTTGGGGTTTTGGGGTTTTTTGTTTGTTTGTTGGGTTTTTTTTTTTTAATCTGTTTTTGTAATGTATTTATACCTGACCTCCTTCCCAAAAGAACTTGAAGCATGATACCAAAATAAGACTTACACAGCAATGGCAATAAAATATGAACAGAAAGGGAGAAAAACAAGATCAGTGAAAATGAAGGAAGAGGGAACATGATGCTGTTATCAGGTGTAAAACTTGACTCTTGAACTTCCTGAAGGTCATGGCTTAGAAGAAGGGAAACAAGTTTTGCACTACTCTAGCTCTGTCTGTAAGTCAGAGTACACCAGTTCCTCAGGGGGAACTTCTTCCTGAGGGATTCTGATAAAAAATGTTGGCACAGGGCTCCTGTGAAATCCTAAAATGAACAGAACCCTCAACTGTTTTAGATATTTGCATATCGTGATTGTGCCTTAAATCCTCAACTTGTAACAGCTTTCAGAATGCATTTAAGAATGTTTGGTGTGGTTAATAGAGGATTTTGTTCCCATTAGGAAAAATTCTTATCCTAAGCTAAAATTGGCTTGAAAATCCATTTGAGACAAATGGAGACATGGAGAATCTTTACCTAATTTTGTAATTTTATGATTTATATCAAGTGAATGTGCTGTCCCTGGATTAGCACATTTATTTTGTATTAAATGTGGTCTTTTTCACAGTGGAATCTAGTCTGGAGAAATGTCTGGCTCCATTCCTATTAAGCCACGTCTAGAATCTCATTTGACTTGATTTGTCAGGGCTCCACAGAGCAGATTTGTCGTATGAGCCTTAACTTATAGGTTGTAGAAGTGCTTCTTGCTGAGATTAGCTGCCGACCCAAAAGGGAGTTGCTTAGCCTTTAATCCAAAAGTTTTACTATGTAACCTGGGGACCCCACTCTGAGCTGTTGGATTTCCAAGAGACACAATGAAACGTGTGTGTGTGTGTGTGTGTGTGTGTGTGTGTGTGTGAGAGAGAGAGAGAGAGAGTGATTTTTATTTTAAGAAACTTTTTGTTCATTTTAAAAGAGCTGTCTGGAGTATGTAGTAAAAGAATGAATAAATTCCAGTTGACCTCAAACATCAAGTGCAGGGGTTAGGGGCACCAACCCCTCCTTGTGCAGTCAAAAATCCATGTATAACTACTTAACTAGTAATAGCCTACAGCTTACTGGAAGACTTACTATTAACATAGTGAATTAACATATTTTGTATGAAGATAAGAGAACATTTTAAGAAAATCTTTTTTTTTTTTCATTTTAAAAAATCTTAAGAGAAAATGCATTTATAGTATTTTAATTGTAAAAAGGTCCCATGTAAGTGGCCATGCACAGCTCAGACCTGTGTCATTCAAGGATCAGCTGTACTTCCAAAGCAGCCAGCACTCGGATCGAATTGAACACTCAGCCTTACCACCAATTACAGGTGACTCCTCAGGGCTGTTGTCTTTGTCAACGGGCAAGCCTTCTTTGTGTTTTTCTGCTTTGTTATCTCTAAGGAAATGCTGCAGTAGAATCAAACCTGATTTTTAGTTCGTTGGCTTTAGTAATATGCTCCCTAAAAGTTAATGAAAGAAGTCCCTCCAGCTCCAAGCGTGATGGATGAGTGTATGTGCAAAGGCTGTGTTGCCCAAGAAGGTAACTCAAGTCGTTCTGTTGATGAGGGCTAGAGGTGTCCGATCATCTTCATCAGTGCTCTGGGACTGCTGCTGAATGCTGACGTTATTGTAGCCTCCTGTGGGAACAGTGAACTTTTCAAAGAGAAACCATGCCTGTGGCTGCCACTATCGAAACTTCTTCCCCGAGTGGCCAAGCTTTCTAGATTACTTTATTTCACAGGTGGAGTCACAGTGTGGAAGCACTGTGTGATTGCAAGTCCTGTGGCCGGTATCAACTTTGGTCATGAACAGTGATTGCCGTTGACACATGTGTACGTGTTTTCTTCTGCGTTGGCAGTGCCAGTGTGTAATGAATAGTCTTAGCACAGCTGGAGACCGTAGGCAATTCGAGAAGAAAACAGGCTTAGTTCTCAAGGAGTTCCTGAAATCAATAGCCTAGCCTTACAAATTGTTCCTGCTACTTCCTTGGTAACAAACAGTATTTTCTGCCTCACCTCACCCACAGTTCCATTGGCCCTTTTCTCCTGTATTCCACAGCACAGCAGTGGGATATAGGGGTTAAGAGGCTTGACCTCAGTCAAAAAATCTAGCTCATGTGGTGGCACCAAGATTTTAATCCAGATCAGTCTTACCCAGAGCTCGTGTTCTTAACCATCATGTAATATTAAGTTAGACAACATGAGAATATGTTGAAGTGTATAAGGAATATATATTGGAATGTATATATATGTAGTCTACATTACTTTTTAAATAAGAAATTGGTCAGTGCTAACTCCTGCATTGTGGATATTCTAGACCGAGGAAGATGATATCCTAAAATCCCTATGCCTATAATTGTACATCGAGACATGTGGCTGCAGGAGGTATGGTGAAATGTAAGTGAGCCTTAGATTTTAGGGCAAGAAGCTATACAGTCTGCTGTTTGTAGTGAGACTAACTCATGAATTAATGATTCTTGATGTAGAATGTTAAAGCTTCACTAGTGATTCATTTATTACAAACATTTGCTTTCTCATTTTTTTTAAGATCATTTATTTTATGAATCATTTATTTAGTGCATGAGCTGGGGAGGGGGGAAAGGCAAGAGAGAATCCCAAGCAGACTCCCCACTGAGTGCAGAGCCCAACATGGGGCTCAGTCGCATGACCCCAAGACCATGACCCCAGCCAAAACCAAGAGTCAGACACTTAACTGACTGAGCCACCCAGGCACCTCTCAAACATTTACTTTTTCTAATTGAAGGACAGAATCAGTTGCTTCTTTGATATAAAGTAATATTTTGGGAAGTCTGCATTAAATGGTCCCAGATGTATCTGAAAACACTAAACGAAAAATAGAACAGAACTATTTGCAATTTTGAATAGTGATTATGAATTTGGAATCGGACTCCCTGGCTCTCCCTTGTTCTGGCATGGTGACCTCAGCAAGCCATGTAACGTCTCTGCCTCCATTTCCTTACCTGTAAAGTCAGGATAGTAATAGTACCCAGGGCAAAGTGTTGCCAAGAGTATTTAAATGAGTCAACAAATACAGAGTACTTAGAGCCTGGCACAGTGAGTGCTAGGACAGCATGGGCCACAACATTGTGGTCTGTCCTGGTGTTACTATTCCTTTCAAGGTAATAAGTCTCTTGCATTGTAAATGCCTCTAAATATAAGTCATTGTACAAAGTTTTCCAGAGATCACCTGCTAAGTGAGGATCCTATTGAAATCTGCCCTGGCAAGCTCTTGGGTGCAGACTTCTGGGCAGGGTCATGAGGGTGCATTCAAAGAGAGGAGAAGGATTTGTAGAGACTTGTGCTTGCTTCTGTACAGGTTCTGTGAACGTAACAATCCATCTGAGGTCAGTGAGCAGGATTATGTCGCCTGGTGTCACCCAGCCCAGCAGTGGCAGACTGTGCTCTCCAGGACCCCACATTCTCCCAGGTGCTGGCGTGCTGTCGAAAGGGGAAGGTGCCTCTGGGAGCCTCACTTGTTCATTGTGGCCCTAGCACTGTGGCGCCATCATTGTTTGATCTGATCTAGTGGGTACTCTTGAATGGTGGCTGCCCTAGTGCCCACCATGTAAGGGCCTTCCTGAGTGTGCATGTGTGTGTGTAGTCTCTGCTCTGATAGGGAGCAAAGGGTGACAGAATGAAGCCAGCAGCCTCCAACCCACAATACAGAAATAACATATAGATGCTGGGGATGTGAAGCTCAAGGCACTCTTTAAAAGTGCAAATGTGACCTGGATTTTAAAAGATTAGTCTGATGCAAAATGCAACCCCCCCCACACCCCAAAAAATCCCACATGAGCCAAGAAGTACCACTCTAGCTAACTGACAAAGTCAAAGCACAGAAGCAAATTTTGCAAACTTGGAAAATAGAGATGCTGACAAACCAGAGATTTCAGGCAGGTCTAAATTAGAAATTGGCTGAGGGGGAGAATAAGTGATGAGGTCCCTCATGGACTCCAGTGAGAACTCTTTAATTCCCCGGCCTAATAGACCAGCAATAGGGAGCGGGCCTTGAGGATGCAGATGCAGTCAGCCAGTGATGGGGTGGCTCCGTTCCGTTCACTAGAAACTGACGGGTGGGTGAGGTTTAGGACTGGCAAGCCAGTTGGGACAGGATGCCTACTTCACCCTCAGCCTTAGACAATCCTCTTCCTTCTCCTTATTGTCTTTCCCCTTCATCCTATCTGCTGGACTTTCTGCTGGGTCTGTGAACTGAGACTGGTCACCTAACCCTCTGCACTGCATGGAGCAGAGCCCTTGGTAGGAAAGGACTCTGGCCACACCGCCGAGGTGCTGCTGCTGCTGCTGCTTCTGCTGCTTCTGCTGCTGCTTCTGCTGCTGGCGTATCCGGAGGAGGTCCAAGCAAAGGCTTTGGCAACTTTGGTTTGAAGGTGATCTTCCCACAGACCGCCCCCCCCTTGGTGTGATGCTTTTCATCTCTCATTTGTCTGTCTTTGACTTTAAAATCTTAAAATCCTGATTTGATTGTGTCTATGTTCGTGCCATGCTTGGGGTCTGGCGCTTGAAGATTGGACAGGGTCACACAAATATTTAGAATCTGAGAATGCCAGAGGAGAAAGGAGCCTCGGAGGTCAGCCATTCCAATGGCCTGACTTGGCTTTGTTTTTGTGTCTGTCGTGAGAAGCAGTGACACTTACAGGTGGGAAGGAAAGAGGCAAGAAGAGGACAGCAAATACAGTATTTCTTGTTCCAAGACAGAGGGGAGAAAAAAACACCCACTGAAGGGCTTTTTTGAAAATCAGAAAGGCAAAGAAAAGCTATAGTACTACAGTAAATGGGCCTCAGCTCATCTGTTGTCAACCTTGAGAAGTGGCAGTCCCTCTGTCCCTGTCAGGTCAGCAGTGTCCAACCGGATGGGCACAGTGGACAGAAATGCCTGTGGGCTAGAGCGATAGCTTTCACCCTGGAGGATCAGAGCAGCCCAGGAGATGCGCCAGTCCTCTCTCCCACCGTCTCCTGGGCCTGGGGGCAAGCACAAGTGAGAACATGTATGGGAAAGCTCTTTATACACTTTGGATCAAGTTCGCCCAAAGGCAGGGTATGGGGGTATGGTATTCCCTGGTCTGTTGTGCCCTCCCCGACCCCATCCCCACAGGTAACACCGGCCCTTCCAACTCTGCTCCTGATCCCTGTGCTAAGTGCTACCTTTTCATGGCCAGCATGGCTCACACTGTCCCTTGGGAGACAACGTGTACAGCATTCATTTTCTTTGGTGAGTGATTATTTGGATTTAGGCAAGCTAAGAAGCTGTGGGTTTTCAGTGTGTCCCTGCACTGCCTACTTGTGTTCAGGAGGCAGCAAGAATGTGCTCAGCACTACTTCTGAGTATTGGCCATGCCGGTGCCCAAAAATGCTTTCCTGGCCTGCAATGATATGGGCTCAGCATCTTTTCCAAGCTCTAGAGGCTCACTTTCTGCTAATCAGCAACTCGTGGTGAGGTTGCAACATTATGGAAAATAATTTTTATTATGTAAAAACCACAGCTCTGGGCATCATTTGACTACACGCCACTTGGGATTCTTGCTTTTGGAAAAGTTCCGTAAATGCATTT